CGGGATAATGAGCCTCGGGGGATCGGCGGAGACGGAGGCCCCGCTGCACTAATTAAGCCTATCAGGGTGCGATTAACTGGCTGTTAAACACACACAGTCTGCGGCGGATCAGCGCCAAGGCCCGAGCCACAGCCAATTACCAGCCTGAGCAATGAGACTCAGCAGAGCTGGGAATGCTTTTTACCGAGAAGAACCGGGAGGAAGTTTTTCTATTTGTGGTTTCAATGGCTGCATCTGTGGCTCTTAATGGACTGGAAGCTCCGCCAGTACTTATTTAATTTATCCAAATGGCAAAACAGAACCTAGAAAATTATGCAAAAATTCAAAGTGAACAAAATATGAAGGTTTTTCAGGCCACTGCCTGATTTTCTTTGATTTTAACTGAATCGATTAAGCATTTCCACACAGTTTTAACAACGTTTTAGCACCGATAGGATGGTTACTGATGAGTTTTCTTCATATTTTATTAGTTATTTTGCCTCCTGGCCAGAAAATCCTGGATTTAAATACTAGATTATAGTTTACTCTCTCATTCCCCTCTGGTCCAAAAATATTAATTTAATTTCAGATTCTAAAGGCGTAAAGTATTATAAATTTGAGTTTAGGCCAGAATTTAACACTATATCAAAATAAATTGTACATCCCTTATTTTTGGCTTCTTCCATCATTTTTCTTCCAGTCGTGTGGTTTGTACCTCCTCCTGAGGAACCTGGTGTTATTCTAGTGAGAAAAAATACAAATCCCACAATGCATGAAAGAAACAAGCCTGTTTGAGACGAATAAATCACCAGACATTCAGATTTTCCTCCTCTGCTTCTGAGGCTTAAAACCAAATGAAAGGAAGTTAAAAACATCTTTGTTTCATCGTCTGCTGCCAGCTCCTACATCATCACTTCCATTTGAAAACTTTAATTAGTCGCCTGCAACACCTGTCAGCATTATGAAGCTTTAAGTTAGCAGAAGGTGTAAAAATCCAATTCCTTGACTGAAAAACGGTAGTTTAAGTTGACATTGTTAGATTTATTTGCTTATGTTGTTAAATATATGTTATTGTTATAATTCCTGTGGATCTTAAATGATAAAAGAGATTGTAGAAGTGGATAATAGCTCTGGATCTCCTGTTTTCTAAACAAAATGGTTAAATTCATGTTCTTAATCCTAGATCTGAGGACGAACAGTCGGCCTTGCAAATGCATCCACTCCACTCCAACTGTCACAATTTATTCCATAATAACCACAAAACTTAAATCTACTTTAACTAGCTTTGATGCAACAGAATAAGGGAAATATACGGGAAGGATCCATGATTTTCAAGACAGTTAGCTTCGTTTCCACTGAGCTATTTTGTTTGTTTCCATTAGGCCTGTATGATACATCGCAAATAGCTGCTGGCGTCGGTCAGATCAGTCTCACTGGACATGCTGCTGCCTGAGGCCAGGTTAGATGTCTGGGTTTGACCCCAGTGACACGGTCAAACCGGTGCGACTCGTCCCAAACCACTAGGTAGAAACGAGGCATTAAAAATAAAAATCTGAAATATGGTGTGTTTGTATTAAGCTTCCTTTACTCCGATGCTCCTAAATAAACCCCAGTGGAAGCAACTGTCATCAATCACCTGATTCGTAAAGTGAAAAGGTCCATTTGTGTTTAATTTAACCTCAGTGTTCCGAGAAGGAGTCAGTTTCTCTGATCTACGTTCACACAGCAGGAAAATGTGACTCTGATCCGACTTCTTCACCTCATTCTGATCGACTCAGTTCTGATTTTTCACCCAAAAACATTGAATTTGTTCCACTTCCATGAACCAAATTAAACCTGATAGTTTGAAAATCGGTCTGAACAGGCATGTGGCATTTCATCCGACTTTTACGTCATTGATGTGAGACATGCGTCATAATTCTGCACCAGAAGAATCAGACGGTAAATCTGGACGTAAACAGTGAAGGGATGAAACTCCCTGGTCTTATCTTTTAATTTGGTGGTTAATACGACTTTTACTTGGCAACACTTTTTAACAAAATGGTCTTTTATATCAAGTTTTTAAATTTTAGTTGCTAAAACTAGACAAAATAATAGAAAGTCATCCTCCAAAAATCAGAGATTTTTCTTTTAACAGTACAAATGTGCAAAAACTTTGTTGTGTTTTTATCTACAGTAATTTACACTTACATTTCCTACAAATCTCTAACTACTTTATTATTTAGATTAGATTAGATTAGATTAGATTAGATTAGATTACATTTATTGTCTTTGCACAGTACAACAGGACTAATTGTACACCTCTTCTTGGGGCTTTTATAAACAGTCAAGACACATGAAACTATACAGAAGTATGAAAAAAACAACCCAGATTTAAAATGATGTTCTTGTCTTTAAACTCTCCCTGAATGGTTGCACTGGAAGTTTGCTTTGACAAGCAAAAAACTATAAATTAGTTTTATTCTTCAGTTTTCAAAATTTATGTTTTTTTGTTTGTTTGTTTGTTTGTTAGGTTTGTGTAGCAACAAGCCTAACTGCTGGCTTAAATCAAAGCTGACTCATGTGTTAGAATGGCCTAGTCAAAGTCCAGACCTAAATCCAATTGATAACTGATTGGTTTCCTTCCACTCTGATTGATGTTGATCTATTATTTACTGAAATTGCCCTTTGAGGATGAAAAAGGTTATTTAAATTGAATTAAATTGCATATTCTGTAAAGAAAAACATTCATAAATGTTGGTCTGTTGGTTTCTAAAGCTGCTGGAGAAGCTGAGGTAGAAAAAGACTCGAGAAAGATTAAATTTAAATTTTAGAAATCATCTAATTTTCATTTCTATCCACAGTTGGAACCAGACAATATGTGGGGGCGGGGTGTGAATACTTTGTGTTTCTAGAAGCAGAAACTGTTGGATCCAGAGGCATCTGCCCTCGCTGACGTCAGGCCTGCGGGAAGCCCCGCCCCTCGGCTCCTCAGGCCACGCCCACATTCTAGAACACTGCTGGTGGGCCCCATTGTTAGCGCAGTTGCCTGGCAACACGGCGCACCGTCGTCAGGGACAACCAGCCTCTGTCTTTCTTTCTTTCTCTGTCAGATAGCAACAGCATTACAGAGATGACAAGCCCACGCTCACACACACACCACACACACACCACACACACACACACCACACACACACTCTGAGCTTCCATCTTGAGGCAGGAAAATTTCACACAAACACAGGAAAACATATTGTTCATTTTCATGCCTGCTGCCTCCTCCTGCTCACACACATCATTACTCACCGCAACGCATGATGCAATCATCAGACATCCCTCCACTCTGCCTGCGTGTGTGTGTGTGTGTGTCACACACTCGCCCCTCATCTTTGAAATGCTTTATTATAATTCAGCACATGAAGAGGTCACACAGACAGATTACAGGAGGAGGAGGAGGAGGCTCCTTCCTCCTCATCCAGAGGATGTTTGGGTTCAGATGATCCCACAAAGAGCCGATTTCCTCATGACTCCCACCAAGATAAACAAATATCTGCAAACATTTCCTCCACATCTTCAGGTGCGGCAGGAGAACGAATGTGGGAGTGAAAGACGCAGTTCGGACTCCAACACAAAGAGCTGTTGTTCACGATGCCTTCAGCTCCACTGTAAACATCTGCAGGTTAGTTTAGACACCCTCAGGCCGTCGGTGGATCTCTTCAGAAAGCTGATCTGCTTCCTTCCTGTTGCTCCTGCAGTCAGAACTAATTTATGGGAATGTTTTACACCCAAACCGACCTGGTTCCAGGGGAAAACTCCCTGTGTTTTAATCAATCAACCAGTCCTGATCTGGCAGAGATCTGATTTACATTTTAGATTTCTGGCTGCCATCTTGGATCTTGATGTCGGGTTGGGAACACATCAGAGGGATGAGCAGTAAAGATGTTCTCACGTCGGTTCGATTTGAGGACAAAGTTGGAACATTTGATACATTTTCAGCTGCACTGAGTCAAACCAGCCAAACCTTTGAGCAACCTGTTCCTCTCCTTGCCTGTGGGGGCGCTGCACCAAGAACCACTGACACAAACGACACAAAACGTCTGAAGAAGACACAAAGCATAACTTCCTTCTTCATGAAAGTAAATAAAAACAAAGTAGCATCAGATGTTAGCAGTTGTAGGATTTCTCTTTTGTCTTTAGCCATTTCTCCTGCTAATGCTTGGCTAACAGGAGAAATGCTTTGGTTCTATTTACCCAGAATGCCCTGCGCTGTGGGCAGGAGCTGTCTCCAGTCCGCTTGGTGTTGACATCTGCATCTGAGCCTCTCCAGAGTTCACATTTTTTTCTCCACACTTTTCTACCTTAATTCCTCCTGAAGAAATAAAAAGTTAAACTAACAAACCGCATCAAGATGTTGAGAGAGCAGCTTCAGTTTAATAATTTATATTCTGGAGTTGCACCAGTCGATTTTTCTCATTTGGATCTTCAATAACTCAACATTTGAGTGCAAATGAAACTCAGGATAAATGTCTGATTGATTTGCAATTAGAAGTCAAACTCAGAAAAATCAAGTGGATTGTTCCCTGAAATAAAATTTTCAGCTTCCAATTTGGTGCAAGCATGTAAAATGTTTATGGTTTAATAAATCAGTAGCAGGACTGTTCCTTTAATGTTACAATGATTAAATGCAGATAAGATCAGAGGAAGAGCTAGCTCTCTGGTGTTAAACTGGGTTTCTCTGGCATTATTTAAACCGGTTGAGTTCTCTGCATTGGTTCTGTGCAGCTGGCTCCAGAACCGCTGCTCCAACCTACCAATGAAAAAAGCCGGACCTCCTTATGCGAGATGTCTCAAAACTCATTACAATTTGGATTTATGGACAATTAACAGGCAGCCCTTTAAGCTGCATGCTGTTGTTTCCTTCCTGTAAGAAGTGGCCCTCATTCATGAACTCAGGTCCAAATGTTTGACAAGAACCTCAGCTGCATATCCTCTGAAATCACCTGGAGAAATCGGTTCATTCTGCCACCAAAATCACTTCTCAAAAATGAGCTTTCAAGATAAAATTTTAATGAGAATGTCTCGGTGTGTACAAGGAATCACTGAGCGTGTTGTCAAACGACAAACGGGAAATGACACAGTTGCAGTGTGGAATGATCCGATCTCTTTCCGCTCGGTTCCCGGAGGTCCCAGAGTTCTGCTCGGGGGACCCAGAGCGTCGCTGCGAATTCCCACGCTGCATTCGCGCTTCTGTTGGTCCACCACATGGTTCAATGTTCAGCTGATACGGGAAAACAGGAGCTGGTTCTGAACTCTCTCTGTTGGGCCCAACAAGCTGAATTAGTGGCGGTAAAACATCAAAACCTTCAATTAGAGGAACCAGAAAGCAGTAAAATGGTTCCTTCAGCCTTATAAAACCGACTGGACCTTTAGGAGCCTTCCATCGACACAAACCCAATAAATTATCACAACTCTTTAATTTTCCAGATTCAAATGAACCAAATAACTTCTGGGCCACCAAGACAGTTAAGAAGCAGCTCCTGATGTAGCAGCAGAAACGCCGCCCAGAAAAAGTCAACCAAGGTGCCGTTTAAAGTCCTTAAGGAGGAGGTAGACAGAAGAGATGGTAACAGTGATGTGGTTATTGTAGTCCTACTGAGGGGAACTTGTAGTCCATATTAACAGTCTTGGATCACTTCCTGCTGAGGTCAGTTTGTGAATCCTCTGTGAGGTCAGCTTGTCAGCCGGTTTTGGTCAAACTGAAGGAGTCTCTGCGGCTGAGTCCTGAATCTTCCTGGGTTTTGCTACAATGGGATTAGTGGTTAGGTTGGGTGGATGAGGAAGAAGAGGAGGAAGGCTTTTTCTCCCACGGATGGAAAAGGTTGCAGGTCTGTGAGGAAATGGTTAATGCTCTTGTGTTGCTGAAAAGTTTGATACTGGGTTTTTTATCTGGACTTTTTAGTCACTTCTAAGTTTAATCAATCAAAGCATCAGACTCCAGAGTTGTAATTTGAAAGATAAGACAGATTAGTCTGGTTTTCTCAAACAGGATGAAGATTTTCCATCCTCCCTCTGTCAAACCGAATAAAGCAACAGTTTAAAGTCTCTTCTTGTACTTCCAGAAGCATCTACGTCTCTACCAACTAGAAATGTACTGAATGGTTTAGTCAGAGTCCTTTCTGATCCCCTGAGTGTTCTTGGTCTTGGTTTAGATCCAAGACCTTTAATAAAATCTTCCCCAATACGTAGAGATGCTGAGCAAACCTCTGCCTGACACTTTGAGCATCGACAACCTCTGAATTTAGCAATGTTTACGACGTAACTGGGACAAAAACATAACACTGACGAGCCTAAAGGGTTAACAAACGATAACTTATGGTCCCACTCAGGCAATCCTGTAATCTGGTTCCCAGTAAGACTTCCAGCTGCTCCAAGGATCGATCCCATGGTGAAAAACTGATATTCGGCCTGAAAACTAGACCAGTAAGTCATGAACCCAGAGACGGTTAAGTTGTCCCAAGGGTCATTAATTCTGGTTTAATGCTGATAAATCACTGCAGTGTTTAATAGACCCATATAAACATATCTCACTAGGATTGCAAAGATGGAGCAAATCCACTTTTGCAAATTAGATAAGATATATTTCTAGTGTTTCAGGCACTGAAGCACTAGAAATATATCTGGTGACTCAATGCCTTTTGCCACTGCATGACCAAAGGCAACAGATGCCTTTGGTCATGCAGAGGCACAAATTTGTCATTTCATGACCGGATTGGAAAAACCCAAATATAAAGTGAATAAAGGACCATTGAGGTGTCAAGATGACTTGCAGCTGATTTGAAGGGACGGTGGGCATTAATAGCTGGTGAGCAGAAGACCATTCATGTGGGGAGTCAATTTGACAACTGCATCATATTTTACCTTTAAATCCCCTTTGACAAAGCATTAAACCTTTCTGATGAAGCCTTCCTACTTCCTGTGATTCTTCCTCCTCTTCCTCCATCCAGTCGATGCAGGATTTCTGGGCTATCCGCACAAAGTCCTGCTCTGGTTCAGTCCGAGACGCCAAAGTCCTCTGGCTGAATTTCATTCAGTCCAGGTGTGTCTGTGTTGGTGACTCCACTGGTGAAGGAAAGGCTAGAAGAACCAGCGAAACGCCTCACCGGCTGGGACGGAGGGCGGCCGCTGAGGAGCAAACAGAGAAGAAGAGTTGGTGAAAGAGCCATCAGAAATCGAGCCTTTTGCCTGGCACATTGCAGCTCGAGTCATTTATTCAGGTTTGCCTACAAAGGAAGTGAGCTCCCTCAACGGTTCAGAGTCTTGCTCAAGTCTTGACCCAGTTGACCAGAAACCTGCTTGACTTCAAACCCAAAGGATCAGACTGAAAGGTTAATGTTTGCATCTCTTGGAGAAAAACTTTCTTCTCTAAATTAGAGCGTTCATGGAGGAGGTATTAAGTTAAAAGAGTTGTTTTTGGCCTTTTTTGTTTCGGACTGCAGGACAAAATCTCTGCTGAAGGTAACGGCGAAGTACTGACAAAGCTTTAATGTTCAGTACACAGTAAAGTTTAGGACCGAGGGAAAGTCTGTCGGGTCGACTTCAAAGAGCGCAAAGAAAGGATGAGGCAAGAGAGTGAAACCACCTGCCAACACACACATGCAGGACACACAGGTTCACACACTCTGTTTGCCGTGCACACGTGCATGGTGCTGTCAGTTGCTGTGAGGCTCCACAGGTCCAATTAGTGTGTAATTGAGGAAGATTATGGCTGCTAATTCACTGTCTTCGTAACGCACACACTCCTTGTTTTAGTGTGCAAGGGAGGGAATAATTAGAGTTAGTTGGTAGACATTCCCACAGGAAGTGTGTGTGTGTGTGTGTGTGTGTGCGCGCATGTGTGTAAGAGAGATATATGGAGTCATCAGTGAGGTCGAAAACCGGTGTCAATGAATTATTGATCGCCGCTACTTCTTACGGCAAAGACGAGCGCTGGCACACACACCCCGAGGAGAAGGCAGATAACATAAATATTCTCCGTTTCCCGCTCTCTGCAGGCTCTCTTTATCTCTGTGAATCAGTGTAGAGCTGGTGTGTGCGTTGGTGTGTGTGTGTGTTGGCAGCCTGCCAGACCTCGGCAGGCTCCAAGCTCTCGCTTTTCACCACCCACCATCTGCACAGCACTCACACACACTCACTCAGCGGGGTGAGCGATGCCTTCCAGCCTCCCTGGCAGTCATCTGGGTTAAGTGAGCCAGGACACACACACGCATACGCGCACACACGCACGCACACGCACACACACGCAGAGAACCAAGCACACACACAGAAACATGTAGAGAGAAGTAAAACCAGATAGAAATTTGGATCTGTTGCTGTATGTTCGCGAACATGTGCAGGGTCTTGAAAAAGCATTGATACCCCTTGAACTTTTCCTCATTTTGCTTCATTATAACAACAAACTTCAGTGTGTTTTAGAGGAATGAACAGACTGATCCAAAGTGTTGCATCGTTTTTGGAGTGGGAGCAAAATGAGGGAACATTTTAGAACCGTCTTCACTGAAGGTAAACCTTGAAGATCCAGTTCAGTTGAAGTGCGTCTCTAACTGGAGCCTCCAACAAGTTTTCTTTCAGAAATGTCAAGGATTTAGCTTCCGGTCCATTCTGAAGAGAAGAATCTCCACAGGATGATGTTGCCACCACCATGTTTCGCTGTGGGGTTGGTGTGTTTAGGGTGATGTTAGGTTTCCAACATGAGAACCTCTAAAGCGCAGCTAGACTTGACTCTACCCTCCATGATTCAGGTGGTTTTCCTTTATGACTATTTGACACCTCTACTGACATAGTTGGTCGTCCAAAAGGTGTGAGTGTGATCCTTATGCAACCCAACACAACCACAAAGGAGGATGTTGAAGCTATGTTGAACATTTTGCTCAGTTTGTGGCTTTTTGTCTGACTCAAGGAAGAAGAGAAGCAGCACAGGCAGCAGAAAAAGGAGTGTGAATGAAGACTCCCAGATGTTTGGGCGTACTGTATGTATTCTGTGAGGCTCCACAAACACTGTCCTGCATGGTTGAGATTTCATGGTCGAGCGAATCGATTGCATACATTTCCTTCATTTCCTCCAGTCCGAATGGATTCTAGCATGTTTGATGAGCTAGTTGCCCAATAATCTGTTTCTTGTACAACACAAAGTACGTGTACTTCTTCGGCAAAATTTACCTTTGCTCATACGTGTCCGACAGACGTCTGCTTTGAGTTTTCCTCTAGGACACGCAGGTCTCTGCAGAGTGAAGTACAACCAAATATGTGGGGGCCTTTAGTCGGTCCTGTGACTCTACCCAATCAGTGACAAATTTCTCAAAAAGAAGCTGGTACTACGTAACTTTTGCGATTGGAAAACCCTTATAGCTGAGTAGAACTGAGTCGTTCAGTAGGAGCCAACAGTGTATTGCTTGAAAGCTTAAGAGTTGATTTGACCACATCTTATCTGTATCCTGTCTATCACTTGTGTCACGGGACTTGCTTGGTTTTGTTCTTACCATTAAGATGTCAGTTTTGTAGATTGCTCAACTAATATCCGTCTTATCAACAGATTCTCTCTCTTGAGCTGTAGATCTCTGCAGCTCCTCCAGAGTTACCGTGGAGCTTCTGGCTGCTTCTCTAATTAATTCTCTCCTGTCAGTTTAGGTGGATATCAGATCTTGGTAGATCTCCAGTCGGTCTCTCCATGTTCAGCACTGTGGGAGAAAGCTTGGGATGTTGTTTGTAGATCCTAACCTCCTTTTAACTTCTCCAGAACATTCCCCCTGCCGCTGAGTTCCTCTGCCTTATTCCATCATCGTTTTCCCTCCACTTCACAATAAGGACCTACTTTGAGTAACTTGGTGAGAATAAGTCACGAGTGTCCAGCTCCAGTCCTCAAGGGTCGGTGTCCTGCTAGTTTTAGATCTCTCTGCTCCAAGACAGCTGATTCAAAAGGTTCAACTACTTCCTCAACAATAATGTTCTTTAGAGGCCGGTTGATTCAGGTGTGTTGATCCAGAGAAACAACCAAAACATGCAGAATTCCTGCACTTGAGTCCAGACTTTGAACATGACTAAACCCAAATAAAACAAAATGCGTAGTGATATAAACAGTTTGTATGACTTGGTTTGTGTTTTACCCTGTGTGCGTGTACTCACCTCCAGCACCCCACCTCCTCCTCCCGGCTTCTTCTTCAGCTCCTCACACTTCCTGAACTTGCAGATCTGGTGACCCGTCTTCCTGTTGCGGCAGGACGAGCAGACGCCGCAGTTGATCAGTCGTCTGCACGGCCCGCATACGCCACACCGCTTCCGCTTCCTCTTCGCCACTGTCCCTGACGATGATGAAGATGACGAGGAGAGGGAGACACCCCCCGCTGTCACCCCTGATGATGAAGGGGAGGAAGAGGAGGGGCATGGGGAGGAGTTGGTGTGCTGCTGGCAGTCCGTTAGCGCCCGCTGGCCGCTCGTCATCTGAAAAGCGCTGCTGGCATCTGAAATCCCGCCACCTGCGGATCCCATTGCCATGACGATGACCCCGGGGGGTAATCCCAGCCCCCCCAGGAAGCCACCACTCATTACTCCTCCCCCATTGCAGTTGCCGCCCTCTGATAGGCCCATCATGTCCGGGTGGGCGTGTCCCTGCTTGTTCATAACGCCACAGTCTGCCCCGCCGCTGTAACCGGGGAGAAAGTTCCCGTTGCTAGGCGCTATGGGGTGATGGTGTGCTGTTCCCTGGCTAACAGGAAGTGACGCAGTGTGTCCATGTTTCTCAGCTCCTCCCCCTTCACTTCCACCACCGGTTCCTCCCCCTCCAGACCCCCCACTGCTCTGGTGCATGCTGCTGCTGTGGGGGTGCGAAGAGGTCATGTGACCTGGCGTCGCCGAGGGATGGTGGTGGTGGTGCGTTGGCGCTGTAGCTACAGGTTTGGGCCTGCCCCAGAACATGGCCGCCGGGTGGTTCATGTTCATGTTCATGTTATCATGGCAACCCCATGGGGCTGTCGCCATGGCACCCAGCCTGGCAGCGGTGGGGGGAAAGATAGGAGCGGCGGCCGCCAGACGAGCCGCCAGTTTGGCTGATTGTGGGAAGTTTGTCACGTTCATGTTCATGTTGACGTTAGTCTTGTAGAAGGTGGCGATGGATGAGCGGTACCGGTCCATCTCAGTGGTGTAGTCGAGCATCGGCGCTAGGCCCGACACCTGCAGCAAAGACTTTCATCACTTTTCACTACGCCATGTGACTTTACATCTCAGAGACCAACAATTCACCAGCGCGGGTGATCTCATCTCAGAAATTCAGAAAACATCAACTCACCTGTCCCTGACCGCCGTAACCATGGTGATTTGGGTGATGGTGAGAGGGGGCAGAGCTTCTCTGCAGCATCGAGGAGAGGTCACTCTCTACACACACGCCGCTCGTCATTCCCGACATGACCTCTCACACACGCACACACAAACACGCATATGAACACGTTTGCTCAGGTAGCAGTTAGCTCTGTGAGGTCACTGTGTTTTGGTCTGTGGATAAAAACAGATCAGACAAAGTGCCTTTAGGAAACACAGTTTACTGATTTCTACAGATCACGATAACCTTCCATTCTGGTGTAAACTTTTTACCCAATATAAGTTAATAAAAGAGCACAATTTTTGTCTATAGCTGATATATAGACGTTGGTTTATCATATATTGGTAATACCAAGTTAAGAAAGGTTACCTCGTCTTTCTTCCAGAATATCAGAGCACCATGTGACGATACTTTTGTCAACAATGTATTCCCTCTTTAATACATTTGAACCTTTGTGTTCCCTGGTCAGCAGTATTTCCTCCTTCTTTTGGCGAGAGATCGGGGTAAGGACACCTCGCATCACCTCCGATATAAAACCAGCCCTACTCACTTATTCCAGTGCAGTAGATGGCCATATAGCGGTTTTGGTACTTGATGTTAAGCTGTTGATGCAATGTTGGAGGTCAAATCTGGGAGTGATGTCTCAACCAACCAAAATGTGTTGGCTCATTCTTATATTTCAGAAGATGTTCAATGGTTGGTGCCTATCTCCGGCAGTCATTGGGTAACAGGCAGGGTACACTCTGAGCAGATCGCCAGTCCGTCACAGGGCAACCATACACACCTAAGGACAATTTAGAGAGACCAATTAATCCAATGTCACGTTTTTGGCCTGTGGGAGGAAGTCAGAGTTCCCAAAGAAAGCCAAGCCATGCACAAGGAAAGCATGCAAACTCCACGAAAAAAAGACTCCAAGCCAGGAAATGGTGCTACAAGGTGCACCACCTTGCAGCCATAACCCAATGTAATGTATCTTCTGTAATTCACTGTGAAATGTGTCCTAATTTTTTTTCACTATCCAAAAATGTTAAAAAGACACATATACACACATGCTCAGACACGATTTAGAGTCCTGGTTCAAAGTTTTAGACAAACATGGAGAACAAGTTGAAGGTCAAGAGGAAAGGTAACACCTGCACCACTTTACTGTTCGTTGGTTTAATCTACCTGTAACTGTAATTATTTTGGTTTGAAATGTGTACATGGTTATACACTGAAAGTATTATTTCTATTAAGTTAGCATGTAAACTGGAACAGAAAAATATGCAGCAGTTCAGTCTAATTCAGTCGCAGTTTGAGCAAATCTGAAAAATGATGGATGGAAGAGTCGACGGAAGAGATGGAAGAGTCGATGGAAGAGATGGAAGAGACCGTCCTTATTCCTTTTCTGAACCATAAACAAAACAGTAAACAAAAAAAATGAGAAGGTGCAACCTCAAGGAACTAATCCTGATAAACCCCATGACATCATTATACACTATACTCTGCTGATCCCACTCTCTTTGCAACAAGCCAACAGAAATTGAGACGTGTAAAACAGTCCAACCTAGAAACCACAACCTCACCTGACAAGAACTGTACCATCATTTTGGTTGCTTCTCTAAGCCAGGATCAACCTTAAAATGATCATTAGACAGCATTGATGGTGGTAGGAAAGAGACACCATTTTGTTTGGGTCAGTCTGGGTGGTTGTACTATCCATACAGATTCAGGTTGTACAGGTGTTGGAATTTATTGGGTGCATGACCCACAAAAAATACAAACCAGGTTCTGATTGCCCCACAAAGACTGAACCAGAGAGGAAATGTTGCATTGTTCACTCTACTGGGTTCCTTCCATGATTATGATAAGTTCACCAACCCAATCGTTTAGCCATCTGACTCAAAGCAGGGATGACTGCTGTACTATACCATAAGGTATGGGCTTGTATTCCCAAATCCAGACCTGTAACTTTTAGATACACCCTTAATTCTACACATTTGAATCAAATAGTTAATTACCAGACCTCTGCAGAGCTGAAAGATGCTTAACGAGCCATTTGGTCCAGGTGTGTTGGAGAAGGGAGGCATCTAAAGGTCTAAACGATGGTAGATCTCAAGGACCGGTCATAGGGAATGTGCTGTATAGCAACCAACCTCTAGGTATGACTTCAGGTTACCTCTAGCAGTGGTACAGAAACCGTAGAGACCCAGCGCTAGTTTGGTGTTTTCAGCAGACCAATCCTCATCAACACCATGTTTACTAGCTGCTGCGTTGTGTTTAGGTTCTCCTGTGACCGGCCAGGTGACCAACTCACTGGTCCACGTCAATGATGGTGCATAAGATGATGCAAGGCTGCCTCTTCCATGTCACTCTTAATCTGGTTATATCCAGGTCCAAAGGCGTTCAAGATCCTCTGGATCAGGACCATCAGTGTGCTAAAACCACCAACTCTGTTTGTCTTCAAAAATGTATTTTGAATATGATTGGAAAAGAATCTGCATAATCAGCAGAGAAGTCCCAATATCCAGACTAAACCAGCCTGAAGTTTTGCTTAGAACGGGAAAGGAAAATGTATAAACTGATGAACTCCTACCCCAGTCCCTGAAAACTGGTAACAATTTGATGTGACATTATAATCTCTGGCTGCAGCAAGAAGGTTCTGGGTTCGATTCCCGGCCCCGGTCTTTCTGCATGGAGTTTGCATGTTCTCCCTGTGCATGCGTGGGTTTTCTCTGGGTACTCCGGTTTCCTCCCACAGTCCAAAAACATGATTGTCAGGTTAATTGGTCTCTCCAAATTGCCCCTAGGTGTGTGTCCATGGTTGTTTGTCTCTGTGTTGCCCTGCGACAGACTGGCGACCTGTCCAGGGTGATCCTACCTCTTGCCCAGAACAACCCTCCCGACCCCACTAAGGGACAAGGGTGTAAAGAAAATGGATGGGATTATAATCTCTTGCAAAGTGATTTTTTATTCCATTTCCATTTAAGATGCAAAGATCATTACCTGGTGTTTTTAACTGTTAAAATCTGTCCCCAAAATGATTGACTTCACCAGTATTTTAGTCCAGAAGACATAGACGTACTCGTCCCAGTTGTGATAGTTATGTCTGGTTACCTCAACATTAAGAAAAACTCCTGATTTTAGTTTAGTTTCAGATTGAAAAAGATCAACATCTCATGAACGTGTAGTCAAGTCGTTCCAAACTTTGGGCATGAAAAGTCTAAACTAAGAAGCTAGGATTGATTAGCTTATCTGAAGTGGCCCAAACCCCCAACTTTTCGGTTCCATTAGGGCATTTCCATGTTGACGTCTTTTCACTTTCCAGCCCATTATGCTGCTTATACAGAAGGCAGAGACACTTTTGGGGAGTCAGAACCTTCCCAAACCACTTTGGACCGGTGGTGTCCTCAGTTTGGTTCCCAGGTTCCCAGGAAATCCCGGACAGTTGGGAGAGTTGCCTGGTCTTGGACCCCATGGTGGCAGTAAAACAAACCAGCCAGGAAAGCATTCGCTGCCTTTTGTCAGTGTGTGAACAACGAGCAGACTGCGCGGTTGTGTGAATGAGTGTGAAATGTGGGTGTTTGTCAAAGGAAACAAACGCGTGCAGCCTCTAACAGAGTGTGTGCCTATCGCGTGTGTGTAGTCAGTGTGGAAATGTGTGTCGGCTCGTGCGTGCGTGCGTGAGCGCGTGTCCCACCCCCTCAACCACTCCTCCCCCCCCTCTCCAACCCTCAAACTCCCCCGAGGCGTAACTAATTACCCTGTCTGGTCAAGCGGGCCGGCGCGAGCTCCGACAGAAGGTCACAGCGGCCACCGACCGCGAGGGGAAAACGGCTCTCCCACGCGACACATTAACACCTCCCCCCCTCAGGCACTGAAAGCCAAGGAGCAGGGAGGAGGGAGGCGAGGAGGGAGGGAGGGGAGTGATGAGAGGGAGGTGGAGGGGGGTCAAACACAAAAAAAGGCAGAGCCGATAACGACCGATAAATACCGTGAACACAGCATGCAGTCCGATACAGCGCGAGGAGGAAGGGAGAAGATGGACGGCGCGTGCTGCTGCTACTTACCGGCCCCGCGAGGAGGAGGAGGAGGAGGAGGAAGAGGGTGATGAGGAGAAAGAGGAGGAAGGAGGAGAAGACCGTCTGGGAATTAGCCCGCCACGGATCATGGCTGGCGGGGAAGGAGACAGAGAAAGAGAGGAGAGGAGGGGAGGGGGGGGAGAGGAGCTCCGGGAGGGATTTGTCGGTCTGTTGGTACCAAGGAGGAGGAGGAGGAGGTGATGGAGGGAGGGATAACGGGGAGTGGGGGTTGGAGGAGGAGGGAGGAGGGGGTGGGGGGCGGATGGATAATCACCTGGGCTTGGCACAAGCGAGCGCGAGGCGGGGAGAAGGAGGGAGGGCGAGGCGTTAAATTAGCCCGGCCGAGGAGAAGGGAAGCGGCTCTGTGGAGACCCTGCAGGGGAGGAGGAAGAGAGGCGAGGAGCTCGAGGAAAGGAAAGCGAGAAAAAAAACAGCACCACGGGAGGAGAGGGGCGGGGGAGGAGGGGTGATGAATAATGGCGGAGGTTATGAACGGATACGTGCGTCGCTCTCGCGGCAGGGCGAGAAGGGGAGGGAGGGAGGCAGGGGGTCCACACGACGCTGATGTTCGGTAACAGAGAGGGGAGGCTGCGTGTGTGTGTGTGTGTGTGTGTGCGTGTGTGTGTGTGTGTGTGTGTGCG